TGCTGATGATGACTGACAGGGAGATGGTGGATGCAGAGCTGTTGTCCTATAGGGACAATGTAGGGGAGGAGGACTGCTTACACCACATGGATGACTTGCAGGTAAACATAACCATAGCAGCAAGATCATCTGGCCTGAGAGCTCTTTCTCTCCATTAACCTCATAGAACATGGTAGCTGCACTAACGAACAGATCTGTAAAAAACTTCTGGGAAGGCCTTTCAGCTGTGTGAAGGCGCAGCAGAGCCGCTGAGCAGCGCTGCACAGGAGGAGGCGGTAACTGCAGCTGCCTCACGCGTTCTGCCCTTCCCAAGGGCCGTCCTTTCAACCCAYGTGCAGGGTTGACAGCGTTCAGGGTGGTGCACTGGTGTTCTCCTGGGCAGTGCACAGAAAGCACAAAAGGCTTTGCAGACTAGGGGTTCTGTGAGCTGTGGTGAGATCCCCCATCTCACAGGTGGATATAGTTCAGAGATCCTGCCTCTGGCTTTGTGGATGGGGTTTGCTTGTTTGTATGGATTATATTTGAGGGGGGGAGAAAAAAAAAAGCAAAAAAAAGAAAAAAATCTCAGCAAGGTTTTTTCAGCCATGTTGGCACTCATGTGCCTTTGTTGTTCTGTCATTCTGGTTCCAAAGTCATGTCATAAAGGCATGTTCACTACAGTAGAGCAAATATAGCACAGCCTCAGTATTTCAGCACTTGTGTCCCTGGACACTGACCACCTGACAGTGCAAGTGGCTTTTGGTGACAGTGTCTACAGGTGCCACTCGAGATTCCTGTGGCTGGGACTCTGGCCACTAATACATTTGCTGTCCCTCGCCCTGGCTCCCCAGGAGAAAGCTGCAAAATGACTTTTCATTCCGCAGCGAGATATTGACGGCTGTCAACAGCGTACAGCAAAGGGCATGGCGTAGGTTCCCTATACACGTGATGAAAAAGAGGCCTGGAAAAGGTGAAACGCTGCAGCCCTCTCTTCAGAAGAGAAAAGCAAATGACCTTTGGTTAACAGTTTTTTTTCTCTACTGCTGAGGAAGACTGTACTGCAGCTACTGCAGGTTTTGGGGACTCAGGGGCATGCTCGCTTCTCTTCCTGAGATGCAAGCGTGGGTTGTAGCATGTAAGGCTGCAGTTACAGTGAACACTTGCTCTCCGTTCCAGGTCAACATGATGACACTTGCAGAGCACATCATTGAAGCTACGCCTGACAGGATCAAGCGGGAGAATTTTGTGCCAATGGAGTCACTGTTGGCAGAGAGGACGGACAGTACTGCCATGAGCACCACAATGAGCTGGCTGGCCAGTTACCTTGCTGATGTCGATCATCTGCCGAGTGCTGCACAGATGAGGTTAGCAGGAGCTGCGGAGCAGCCCTGGTGATTCAGGGTGGTGTGAAAGCTGAGGGGCACGTGCTGCTTCTGCAGCCTGCGCGGGCTGCTTGGTGGGTCTCCGCTCTCTCTCGCACCTGAACATAAAGTTGCCGGTACACCTGTAAGTTTATGGGGAATGCAGGTGGCTGCAGCAAGCAGGCAGAAATGAAGATTTGCACCGAGCAGGTTTAAGCACTGCTGTCTGAATCATTGGTTTCTATGAGTGTCTGAACTGCTAGGCTAGTGAGCAGCTATAATTCACAGACTTCGTGAGTTAGTTGATGGCTGTGGGTCTGAAGCGAGGAAATGAAAATATGCACCTTGCCCAGTGGGCGTCATGCAGTCAAAAATTAAAAAAAAACCACAAAGCTGAATGACCCACTAAACCTGAACTTCAGAGAAATCTTTGTTGTTTTTACAGAAGAAAAGGTAAACATTTTTCTCATAGAGAAATAAACACATTGCATGTGAATGCTGAACAGCAGACAAATTTCTGTAGTGACAGAATAGTTGTGAGAAGAAAATAAGCATGAACTGCATGCACAGCATTCAGTCTAAACTTGTCGCTGAATTTCCGTCTACCAGTCATCTATCTCTCCACCTAAACCTTTTTACAATTGCTATACATAATAAGAGAGTAAACACATCTCAGAAAGTAGAACAGCGTCGTAAGTCCACAGAATTTGAGTTCTCTTATTGCCAGGCATAGGCAAGGTGGTGCGAGCAGGCTCAGCAGTGAGGAATTCGGGTTGAAGAGGTGTGGGGGAATGYGAGACTCTCCCTTGAGCTTAAAAGTGTTGTAGTTCTTATTTGTGATGCCAGTGCTGCTGGTTTGTGACCCGGTAATTCCTACTGTGATTGGTGTTTCAGAAATATGTATAGTGAACCCCTGACCCCTTCTTCAAACACCAGCTTGAGCCCTGCTGGCTCACCGATCAGCGAAATAGCTTTTGAGAAACCCAGCCTCCCCTCGGCCGCAGACTGGTCTGAATTTCTGAGTGCATCCACCAGCGAGAAGGTAGAGAATGAGTTTGCACAGTTAACTCTGTCCGATCATGAGCAGAGAGAGCTCTATGAAGCTGCCAAACTCGTCCAGACGGTGTTCAGGAAATACAAGGTAAGTGGCTGAAACATCCTATGTTTTCCTCTTTAGATGGGAGACAGTCTAGTTTGTTAAGAAATAAAGAGTAGATAAGGGGTAGTATCCACTCCTAAGACAAAGAAAAGAGTTTCTACCATAACTTTTGCAATACTTCTGGCATTTGCTTGTTGACATTTACTAAGCAACCAGCAAGCCATGCCGCATTCCCTCTGTGCTACAGCACAGCAGTCACAAAGCGTATCCTAAAAAAAGTGCATTCCAGAGGTGCCCGTTGGTCACCCGCTTGGTAGACATCAATTTTGAGGGTTTGTCTCTTAAATTCACTGTAAATGTCTGGAACAAAATTGGGTCACATACCCTACTGGATGAGATTTAGAAGGAGGAGCCCTTGAAGTGCCTGCAAGGGGCTTATCTGTCCTGTTTTGTTGGGGCAGTCTGAGTATTTATTACTTCTTGCTTCTCTGCACAGGGCTGTCCTCTCCGGGAACAGCAAGAGGTGGCTGCCGCTGTCATTCAGCGTTGCTACCGAAAATACAAACAGGTAAGTAAGGAAATGAGTTTTTTGAGGAAATGCACACAGTAGTGTCATGAATATAGCCTCTATAATTGTGATTATGCTACTGTGTTTCTGTGGGCCTTTCAATATGCAGCATACCCTCCTCAGACAAAGTTAGAAGGGGAAGAAATTTTGAATCCCAAATCTAATCTCAGAGGGCATTTCCTTGAAAGGACTGTTTGTCATGATACTCGCATTTTAATGTGAGATAGAGGGAACTGTTGTGTTTCATATTGGCCTGTACACATAATATAATCTACTTAGACTGTTTTCTGACTAGTTGCTTGCCAAATTTCATTGTGAAATTGAAGTTGGTTTTGCCTCTGACAAGAGTGAAGGTGAAAAAATAGATTGTTTTATTTTGCACGTGCCAAACTTTTAAGCTGCAGAAAATCCAATGTTTTAGCTTGATGCAAGTTGTTCCAGGACTGAGACTGTTCTCCAAACTATTTTGCAGAGGTGATTTTAGGCTGAGTTCTCAACCCCAGAAAAAGAAGATATTTTTTCCTTGCCCTACTTCCACTCCCCCTTTATTTTTTGGCGGTTAGAGCCCATATCCTTCTCGCTGTGCCCCATAAGACTTAGCCTGTCTGATGCCTCAAAGCAGAGTACTTGAAACGAAAGACAAGATTCTCGTGCTCTTTTGCAAATTTCAAAATCAACTGTTTGGGAAACCTCTCTGATGCATCACAATTGACCCTCAAACTGTCCTACAGCTGTCATTCGGAAGTGATGCTTCTGTGCAAGCAAAGTTAATACCTTTCAAAAGCTGCTTGATGAGTCTGTCTTGGATCCTGGAATCGCTTCTTTTTGAAAGAAGATGGTTTGGGGTTTTTGGGGTTTTTTTTTTCCAAAACTTTATTTGCAGAACTAACATTAACCTTGTATTTTCTGTTTCTCCCTAAGCTTACTTGGATAGCCTTGAAGGTAATATAAATACAAACACTGTTTTGGAAACCATTCCCGTTGGGTTGCAAGCTTTCACATTSCGTAGAGACCAGGAGAAGCTGGCAATTAGTGCAATGTTTTAAGAGTATCCACTGGTAAATGCCTGTGGTAGCTGAAGCACTGTGACAAAACAAACCTCTTTTGGGGGTTAGGCAGAGGCTGCTGTGCCACAGCATATCAACAGAAAAATAATACTGATTTTAAAAAAGGTCTCTTGCTTCTACAGATCCCTCATAAAGCAGTGATGGGCTGAGGAGGGGGGGTTCTGAAGTCTGTTTTCAGAGGATGGACCTTCCTTTGTTGAAGGACCTTCCTTGTTGCTCTTAGCCTTTCCTTAGTGTTTGGGGAGCAGAAGGGAGCATTCACATCCCACCCGTACAGCAGTAGCGCTAGCTTTCTGCCTGCCTGTGAAAGTATTTTGAAAGGCCACTTGTAAAACACCTATGCTCAGACTTCTTGAGATCACTGTCATGTACGTTGCCGCTCGTGCTGGAGACAAGGGTGTTAATGCCGGTCTTAAATTGTGCATGATGAATAACCTTATCCAGTAAAGAAAGATTTGCCAGCGGAGCAACATCTTACTCTAACTAGGCACTGGAATCAGCTCAGCTTTTCTCAAAGCTCCTGGGCACAAGGCAATCTCTTGCTGGAGAGAAAGTGGCCTCGGAGGTGTTTTTTTCATCCGCAGCTTCCTCACACACTGTGGTTTTATACCCATTACAGTACTGTTACATTAGGGCAAGTGAACTGAGTTTTCCTGGTGTCCCTGTTCTAGCTGGACTTTGCCTCTGCRTGGAGACTAGGTGATATTTCCCTTTATCCTCTTCCTAGGGGGAGGAAAGAGGAGGAGGAGAGAAAATTTGAGGAATTATGGATGGATCACGGTCTCAGTACCTGTGTAGCTAATCAGCTAAGTGGATCCTGAATGCAAACATATTGGGGTGCTGTGTGTGCAGAGACTGCTTTTCTCTTTCACATGCCTTACTCCTCTGTTACGTTACTGTACTACTGAGGTCAGCACAGGCTTAGGGTGGGAGATTTGAACAGCCATGGCTTACATCACTATTTCATCTTTGAACCCTTCTGTTCAGGGGTTTGTAACTCAGCCACAGAAGTCCTCTCTGGGCTAAAAATTGGAAGGAAAACCATGACCAGCCTATGAGCAGGCTTATTTATAAACCACAGTCTAGTCCGTTTATCTAAAAATGTTTAAAAGCAAAAGAAGCAAAACAAAACCAATGCAAATCAATAATGACAAAATAAAACTGTACCTAATGACTGCTTCAATTCCAAAAAGTGAAATTTGGTAAATAGTAGTCTGTAATGGTATCAGAAAGTCTTTTGCTTGACTTGGGTGCTGGGTTGTTGTTTTGTTTGTCCTCCTTCAAATAGGCATACATCAGTTTTCAAGYGCACCATTGAGCTGTTTCAGGACAGTGCCCAATGCAGAGCAGTGTCTGCTGTTTCTGTGTCTCAGCAGTCCTCTGATAGAAAGAGCAGGAAGGCATAGCTGGTAAACTGTCCAGGAACAACAGATAATAACATTTTTAACGTGTTACAATTACCAAAATAAGGTCAGCAACCATCAAAAATGTCTGTCATAGTATTAATTCAGAGGTGCAAACACAACTTGCATGAAGTATTCTAGATCTCTGTTCCTTTACCAAAGACCTTTCAAAATAGACATGAATGCATAAACATTAAAAAGACACTTTCACATAACTTGGCTTCGATATTGGACTTATGTGATGATTTTTCTTTAAGCTGGAGTAATATGCCATTCCATCTGAAGTGCTTGGATTTAAAAGGGTATATGAGCAATCAAGAGTTGCAGCACTGTACTGCAGCACAGAAACAAGAGAGTGACACTGTTCAAGCTGGCTATTCAAAGTTCATTGCCATAAGAAAGTGAAATGCACATGTGAACAGCAAATTAGGTTCTTTAAAAATATCTGCTAAAACTTTTTTTTTCTTTTTTTAAGAAGGCTTACAACGGTGTATTTTCCTTTATTTCGATGGTTGGTATTTCGGAATAGTCATTCATGCTGCATTCCCACTACAGCTACTTAGTTGGGCATATTTTGCTCTGGTTGCTATGATTCTTGATGAGCAACAGCTATGTGGAATTGAGTTTTACAGTATTCTGCACCTTCTAGTGAGTTTTGCTGCATGAAAAGGAAAAAAAAATAGTTCATCTGAACTGAGTTAATTAGTTTCTGTCTAATGCAGACCCAATTCAGTACAAATACAGAACAATATAAACACGACTCAGGATCAACTCCAGTCTTTTCAAGGTTGTTCATAAGTAGACTACAGCTGGAYGTGTTCAGCAGTACCATGTGCTTGCACAGCTTCTGCCAGCTAGTTATTAAACCCAATCCCACCAAGCTATTCTGTTGCAAAACAATTACTTGCTTACTTGATGCAGATGAGGTTCTACGCCTGATTTCACAGTAGTTCACTTTGTTGTAGCCCATTTCTCAGTTCCCAATCAGAGAGTAGAGATGYTCATTGGCTGCTCATCATGTCTTAGTGGCTCAAGAGTCTTTCACCACAGGAACCATCTTCTTGTTGGTTTTATTGGAGTGTCTGAGCTTTTTTGTTTGTTTCTCTCGTAGTATGCACTTTATAAAAAGATGACACAAGCTGCCATTCTTATCCAGAGCAAATTCCGAAGCTATTATGAGCAGAAGAAATTCCAGCAGAGCCGACGAGCAGCAATGCTAATCCAGCAGTACTACCGCAGCTACAAGGAATGTGGGAAAAGGAGGCAAAACCGTCGAGCAGCTGCCATCGTTCAGCAGAAACTCAGGTGAGTTGGGCCGTTAGACCCTGCTGGATCTTTATATAGTGCTGATCAGTCAGGGCTGTGCTCACTGAAGGCCAGTGAAACAGAGTAATTTATGGARTGCTTATTCTAGTATTTAACACTCTTCTATGCACTCCTGCCTGTTCCTTCACGTTTCTTTTTCTTCTGTTTAGAAGCAGTCTGCTCACCAAGAAGCAGGATCAAGCTGCTCGCAAGATTATGCGTTTTTTACGACGCTGCCGCCACAGGTATTAGATCTATTATTATTATTATTATTGCTGTTAATTTCTGACCTTCCTTAGAGCATGTATAGTGACATTCAAAGGCCTTMGTGATAGTTGCAGTATAAAGGACACTAGATCAGCTCACTACAGATCTTCTAATCAAGTCGCAAATCTTAGCTGTTTTCAAGACACACTGGCAAAAAGGAAATGTGTTAAGACTGTTGCTAAAAGGAATTAAGAAGTTCAGCTCCATTCCTGGTAGGGTAAAGCTGCCCAAGTTGTGCTGGCCAAATACAGAACAAGGAAACTTTGTGCAAATAAGAGTAAAGCAAGGCATGTGACTTCTAAGATTGGACTTGAGGAAGTCTGAAAGAAAAAGTTCACTAAAGGACAGCTAATTAGTTCATAATTGCTAAACAAGCCTGCACACTGCATGCAGTGTTCTTGGTACATGGTGAAAATACAAAACACCACAACATCTGTTGTCYAGTGGAAATCACTTTAATGGTAGAGTCTCATCAAAGATGGGTTCCTTTTAATGTGGATAGGTGCAAAGTGTCAGCAGAACAGCAGCTAAGTTAGCTGAAATGTTAGTTGCACCACGCTTGCCTCCGTGAACCTGGGGGTACAGCCACAGGCATGAACGTGAATCAGCTGCTAGCAGGGGAAGCTGAGCGTGGCAGCTCAAGGGCTGGCTGGCAACATGTGGCAGCGAGCTCTCCCGTATCAGGACTCCTCTCTGCAGGCTAATGATGTGTTAATGAGAGAGTCCTGTGTATGATGAAACTGAAGACTGGAACATTACACAGGCAAATGCAAATTGAGATGTTTTTTACCCAGCTCCCTCCATTCTCACCACACATGCATTTCATTCACCAACAGTATGCAGGAGCTGTTCAGACCTGATGCCTGCTGTATTTTGAAGCATGTCTAGTACAGCCTGGCAATGTTTGAACAAACTGAGCTCAGAGAGGCAGGTGATGAGGGGCACTGGTTTTAGAAACTTTTTGGTAGGAGTTCAGAGCTGCAGTTTGCAGAAAGTTAGTGTAGCTCAGGTTGTGGAAGGACTTCTTACTCGCAGGATCAGCGGGAAGTAGCACATGTGGACAAAAAAGAGGGCTTTGTGGTTTCCAGAGCGCTTTCAAGTGCACCTGAAACAGCCACAGGATTTCATGAAGCACAAGTGGCTTCTTGCTCTGAGCAAGGCAGGTGGATGGCCTGAAGGGGCCTCATTCTGGCTCATAAGGCAGCTCGTCCCTTTGAAGTAGGCAGAGACTCTGACCTTTTGTGTCCTCTGACATGGGCTTGATGTCCGGGTCGTCCCCTGTGAAGCAACAGCCTTTTCCTGCCAGTGGGAGTGCTGGAGTCTAAGGGCCAGAGGCTCTTACAGCTGACTTAAACATGTGCACCCACAGAGTCTCTGTAACTAGCACTATCACTGGATTTCACAGTGCTTTGCAGGACACACCACAGCTTTAAACTGGGCTTGGGGAAGTCTCCACCTGCCTGGTAACCTAGACTCTGCAGGACTTAAATTGCCTGTGATTCCAGCATTTTTTCTTTCTTGCCTCATCAACTTCCTCTTGCTGAGGTTTTCCCATTTCCTTTCTAGAGCGAGAACTGCTCATTTGACCAGTCCGGTTTGCGAGGGAGTCCCTTCCCTTTCCCTGTAGCCAGATCTGTTCTCTCTGCAGCCCAGTGGTTGCTGCTGCTAGGCATCTCTGTAGAAAGATAAAGGTCTTGGATATTCTTATAGATAGTCTGCACTGCTAGAGTTTCTGCAACAGCGCAGTCCCGTCTGTGCCCATAGGCACTATGTTAGAGCTCGTGGGTATTTTGGAATTAGCCTATGGTTCTTGGCTGCAATGTGATGTAGGAAACAGTTATGTTTCCACTGAAGATGTAATTGCATTTCGAAACTGCAGTGCTTTTCCTTCTGAACAGAAAATAATCACATGTTTATGTTTCTGTAATTTCTCCAACAGAAAACAAGGTCAAATAGTTTCTTCTTCTCTTTTCTTTCTTCACTTTTTTCTTCTAGCATTTGCCAGTACACTCCCAAGACAAAATTTGTCTCAATTATTAATATCAATAATGCTAAGACTGTAAAACTTTGTTTTTTTGTCCACAACTCTATCTGTGGGCCAGTAAGAGATTCTTTTCTAGGATCTTACTCTGTAGCTTTTATTACCAATTACTCAGGGTTTTTTCCCAGCAACTACATTTTTTTCTAGTTTACATCAATCAAAGACTCTTTTAAGCAACTTCTGAAACATGCCTTTCTGTTAGCATTCAGAACAGCTTAAATGGTTTTCATGGCCTATTTTGTTCATTATTTTATTGGTGTGAATATTCAGTAGAGCCAGTGTGATTTGTATCAGCTTGAGGCTCCAGGGCAGTGTTCCTAGGCTTGTTGGTGTCTGTTTTCTGATCTCATGATCCTACTCTTGTTGCCTGGTCAGATGCAATTTCAGATGCTTTGAAACAGTTAATGCCCAAGGCTGAGGCTCTCTTAGTAAAGGCTGTGTAGAATTTGCTGAAAATCAGAAAAGACACAGAAGTTTGGGCTGACTGTGTTGTTAGAGAAAGTTAAGGTGCTGGAGTTCTGATAGGTGGATATTAGCAGGCATTAGGGCAACAAGTGGAGTCATTCATCAGCAGCATTCTTGTGATCAGGGATCATATGGTATGATATGGATCATATGGTGTGGTTTTCATTTGGTCTTAAAAAGGTTATATTTATCCATCCGTTGTCATATTCTCAAAAATCTGGTGAAAAAAACATGCATCCGCCATAACATGGTATCACCACGACGTACCACCAAGCCGTGTTGGCAGAGCAGGAGAAGCAACGCTCCTGGCCTCCCAGGAGAGGCCAGCACGGCCTCCACGTCCCGCTGGGACTGCCCTGCCCCTGCTGTGAGTGCCCCGGGGTCGGGATGAGTGTTTGGACAGTTCTCCACCTCCGAGGGGCTCCCAAGTAGGAACCCCTCAGAGCTGCAGCGTAAGGAAAGGTGAGAGCTCTGAAGAGGTTCTGGGTTAGCTGAGCTGAATCCACATGCCCTCCATTCCGTCATCTTTCAGTGACAATGTTTAATTTCCTCTTCCTTGTCCAATTCGTATGAAAATTTTACTTCTCTGAGAGACAGCAGCTACACCCCTGCTAGGCTGTGATTGATCCATAGTGCTTTCTTGCGGAGAAGTGTTTGGACAGAGATAGAGAAGACAGTCGCTGCAAGGGAAGGCTGGATGCTACTGGAAATACCACCAGGATGACAGGATTGGCTTTCTTGACCTATTTATTTCCTGCCTTAAAAATTCCTAAATGCAAGACGGTGCTTTAGCTCCCGGTAAGGAGGAGCCTGGAGGTGGGAGGGGGTCTTTCTCTCCAGGCAAGCACGCGCGTGCGTCTCCTCCTCCTCCTCACTGACTGCAGCTCTTGGTAAGGAACCGTGTCTGCCGCGTTGTGCTAATAGCTCTTTGGTATTGTTTTGCTGTCTGAAGCCCTCTGGTGGACCATAGGCTGTACAAAAGGGTGAGTGTAGCTGCCTGCTAGCCAGTTTCTCTCTTACATTTTAAGTATTTTTGCTTTCTGCTTGCTTGCATGGGGCTGCAGCCAGATATGCCAGTAAGTTTCACCTCCATAAATTATATGAAACAGAATCTTGTATAAACTAACCCTACTGCAATGACTAACACTGCTGCTTTTATAACAGGACAGCTCCACAGTAGATGTTACCAGTGCATGAATATGTGAAAAAAAAGGACCTGTTTATTCATCACGGGCATGCTTAGAAGGTGGTGTCGATGGGCAATTTTGTAGCATCCACAATGGCTATCAGTGGATTTTGGAACTGGAATGGGTCTGCAGTGACACAAGCTCAATGAATAATTATGCCCTCTCTATATAATAAGAACATGACAGTATTCGTGTTAGATTTTTGTAAGCTGCTGTGCAGATGCAGCTTACATGAGACACATATTTGTTTCAGCCCAAGCCAGTGAYAGGGAAGAGCTCTTCCCACTGCATTTTCCTGTGAAAGATGGTAAGCTCCAATTCTTACCTCCTAGAATTTGGTCTTAGGTTAAGTTACGTATCTGGTTGCTTTTCAAAGATCAGCTGTTTGCCAGCTGCTTCTCTCAGTTGCTTGTCTTGATCTACAGAGAAGGAAGAGAGAAAACACTGCAATGAAGATATTATAATTGCAATACAGTAACTTGGCAGTTTCCAGAACTGCCCAGGGAGCTTCTGCASGGAGTCTCCTCCTTCGATTAAAAGAAGTGCCCTGGCCTCTGTGCTCTGCCACGCCAGCGCGCTGCCTTGCTTCCTTTGCAGGGTGAGAACGGACCCAAGGGCCCCGGGCAGCCCTGCTCCCCGCAGAGAAGGGAGTGCTTTAGTTTGCCGGGCACACGTGCCGGAGCTGTCAGCAAAGACTGCTCCGCGCCGCCTTGGGTGCTTGGGAGGCTGCAGGGAAACAGGGCAGGTTTCTTTGGCAAAATCCTCAATTGGAAAAAAGCCTTTTGGTTCATTAGTACTGCTACTTCAAAGAGAAACAGGAGGAAGAGGGAGGAATCACTTGGACCC